AGTTGAGGAGGGGTTTGCAACAGTTGGGGAGGGGTTTGCAACAGTTGGGGAGGGGTTTGCAACAGTTGGGGAGGGGCTGGGGGAACAGTTGAGGTTTTTGAAGACTTTGGTGATTTTTAAAGCTTTCCCAAAACTTCATATTCAGCCATTAGAGGATTTTGAAGACTTTGGTGATTTGCAGCCATTTCGTAAGTTAAACTTTTAAAACTTTTTTTGGGGTTTCTGGATTTTGGGTTGGGTGTTTGGAATTCAAGGACTTGGTTCTGGGTTTGAATTGCTGATTTCTTTTTCTTTTTCTGAGTTTACGAAGGTAACAGCTGTGCTGCCATGGGACCCAAGAAGACTGCTGCTGCTGCGGAGGCCGGCGAGAGGAAGAAGGAGAAGGTGACGCTGGAGATGAAGAAGGAGATCATCTGGAAGCACGACGGTGGAATGCGTGTGACGGACCTCGTCAGGGAGTACAGCAGGAACCCATCGACCATCGGGACCATCCTGAAGATTAGGGAGAAGATCCTTGCGACTGATGCAGCCAAGGGAGTCACCAGGATCGTGAAGAACCGCCCAGCTGTTCTGGAGGAGGTCGAGAAGTTGCTGCTCATCTGGTTAGAAGAGAAGCAGCGTGCAGGGGACACAGTGACTGAGGCCGTCATTTGTGAGAAGGCCAAGGCCTTGCACGCAGACCTCATCCGGGAACAGCCAGGAACCTCGGCCGAGCCAGAAGTCTTCAAGGCAAGCAGAGGCTGGTTTGACCGGTTCAAGGCAAGATCTGGAATCCACAGCGTGGTCAGGCATGGAGAGGCTGCCAGTTCTGATGTTCCTGCGGCTGAAGACTTTGCCTTGGAGTTCCTGGAGGTTGTGAAGACGGAGGGCTACATTCCACAGCAGGTCTTCAACTGCGACGAGACCGGGCTGTTTTGGAAGAGGATGCCCAAAAGGACTTTCCTCACACAGGAGGAGGCCAAATTGCCTGGCCACAAGCCCATGAAGGACCGTCTGACCCTGCTCTTCTGTGCCAACGCAAGCGGCGACCTGAAGATCAAGCCCCTGCTGGTGTACCACTCGGAGAACCCACGGGCCTTCAAGAAACACAAGGTCGACAAGGAGCGGCTGAGTGTCATGTGGCGATCCAACAGCAAGGCTTGGGTCACACGTGTGCTGTTTGTGGACTGGGTCAATCTTGCTTTTGGCCCTGCTGTCAAACAGTACCTGCTGGACAATGACCTGCTGCTGAAGGCTTTGCTTCTGATGGACAATGCTCCTGCTCATCCTAAAGGCCTTGAGGTGGACTTGTTGGAGGAGTTCAGCTTCATCAACATCATGTTCCTGCCGCCTAACACCACGCCACTGCTCCAGCCGATGGATCAGCAGGTCATCGCCAATTTCAAGAAACTCTACACCAAGGAGCTTTTCAGGAGATGCTTCGAGGTGACTGATTGCACCACCATCACCCTGCAGGAATTCTGGAAGGACCACTTCGACATCGTCACCTGCTTGAAGATGATCACCACGGCCTGGAACGGGATCAGCCAGAGAAATTTGAATTGCGCTTGGCGCAGCCTGTGGCCGGACTGTGTGGCACCAAGTGACTCTGATGCACCAGAGTCGACAGTGGTGCAGGACATTGTTGCCTTGGGGAGGACCATGGGCCTGGAGGTCACAGAGGAGGACGTCTGCGAGCTGGTGGAGGAGCACGACCACGAGCTGACCACCCAGGAGCTGGTTGAACTGCAGTCAGAGGTTGCGCAGGAGCAGGCCTCGCTGGAAGAGGAGGAAGCAACTGAGGAATGGCCGTCCTCCAAAGAACTGAGGGACATTTGCCAGAAGTGGAAGGAGGTGCAGGCTTTTGCAGAGCGGCACCACCCTATCAAGCACGTGGCACATGACCAAGCGAACACTTTTGATACGACGGTCATGTTGCCTCTCAGGGAGCTGCTGAAAAGGCGGATGAAGCAGCAGACCATGGACAGGTTCCTCAGCAAGAAGCAAAGAGTGGAAGAGGAACCTTCTTCGAGTGGTCCCCCAGAGTCTTAGAAAATGTAATGTACCCTATTTTGATTTTAAACTGTTGTTCCTGTCATGTTTAGAAACTTGATTTATTGTTCCTTCAATTTTTGATATGCTCTTTAAAGTATGTGTGACTTTAAAGAGCATTTAATAAACTATTGTTGTACCAAATTTGGCTTTGATTGGACTTTTTTTGACCATAGGAACGCATTAATTGAATTTCAATGCATTCCTATGGGAAACCGTGCTTCGCAAGACGAAAAATTCGCTAGACGAAAAAACTCGCGGAACGAATTAATTTCGTCTTGCGAGGCACCACTGTAAATAGGTAAGTATCTGGCACACATCCCTTTTGGAGAAACAGCTGCCATACGACGCAGGAGGCCGGGTCCTGGAGAGTGACTCAGTGGGGTATCCTGGCTGAAGGAGTCAATTATGAACTCTGTGCAGGCTTCCAGGGCTCATTAAAAATAAAGTTGGATTTACCATTAACTCTGGTGAATTCATAAATGAATTGTAGAGAACCAGCATAGCTGACAAAGAAGTATAGTTTCATCTGGGTACAATATGTGGCCAAGTTAGAGGAATGATAGACCAGAGACAATAAAAAAAAGTGAGGTCCATATAGAACAATGTTTAGTCAGCCTTTTTTGAGGTAAACAGCCCAAGCAGAAGGTAGAATGTGTGTCTTTGTAGAACCTACTTGTCAATGATCATGCTGGAAAGATTTGTCACGTTACCTCACTGGAACCACCCTTAAGACAAATGACTGTGTGCGTCTATTGCTCTTTGTTCTCTGTGCAAAGTAATTTTATAGTTGTAGTTTTCTTTTATTGGCTCACTTGAGATTTACAGGCCACATTCTGAGCAGTTCACAAGGCACTGCAGCAGCTTGCAAGATAACATGAAACTAATAAACTGCAATAAAAGTGATACATAATCCAACATAATTAATCTTAAGCAATATTATGTTGCTCCTACTTTCTAGGATGGCCAAATCATGGTGGTTTCTTGAAGGCCACACACTTTCCATACATTTCACGCCAAATCATTTTTTGTTGCAAAGCAGATCTTTACCTTTCATAACTACTTAAGAAAATAAGGCCCTTCTAGTCCAAAGGCCCTTGTGGTCTTCTGTTCTCACAGTGGCCAACATCCAGCTTCGCTGAAGGTCCCTGTATTCTAGTGCATTGTTTCATATGCCTCTATCAAGTCTACCTCACCTTTTTTATATACACTAAAGTGCCCCACACTTGGCAGGCAGAAATCAACAGCATGTCAAGCCATGTTTTGATTGAAACATACAAGAGGGATGATGGCTCAATAGCATTTTTGTTTTGTACACTACCACCAAAACTGTTATGCGGGGCATATTCACTGAGTGACATTGGACCAGGTCATAGAATCACTGATTAGGGAGGGACTTCCAGTGTCATCTTAGTAGGGTTGGTCACTGTGAGAACAGGATGCTAGACTAGATAGACCAATGGCCTAATACAGCAGCCACTTATATTCTTATGTTCCTACTATTTGGAATTCTCTGCCCATAAATATTAGGCAGCAGACTTTGCTGTATTGTGTCCCACAGTGTCCCTTAGAGAAGAAAATCAGCGGGTGGAATGGCAGGCAATTTTCATAGAAAGAACAGAGAACTCATATTGTTCAACAGCAACAATGAAAACATGCTTTAATGGAGACCAAGAAATCTTGTAAGCAAGCCTTGTAATGGTTGCTGTGAATGTTCTCTCCCAGCCTTACCTGGGCCTTTGATCTGATCCAGGAGGGTCTCTTCTTATGGTCTTATAGGATGTGCTTCCATTTCTATTCTATCCTTGTTGCTATTTCCAGCTTCTTATTTACACACTTCCTTCACCAGTCTTGCTACAGATAATGCCTGGGTGTATGTTAACATGAACATTCTCTTTGACTTTCCATTCTCAGTGATGCTATGGTTGCTCCTTGGCCAGTAGGAAGGACTGTCACTCAGTCACTCTACTTTGCAAGCAGAAGGTCCCAGATTCGATCCCTGGCATCTCCAGGTAGGAACAGGAGAGAACCCTGTCTGAAACCTAGAAGAGCTGCTACCAGTCAGTGTAGACAGTATTGAGCTACATGACCAATGGGCCAACACTCAGTATAAAGCAGCTTCCTACATTTGTGAGAATATGTGTTCTGTGTTCAGTGTGGAGTATGCTGCTCTCCATACTTCTCCATTTGGCCCCTGGGACTTGGCCAGGTTCCCAGGATCTCAGTTTCTTGTCTTTCCATAGATACATAGAGGACATGGGAAATATACAACAAAAAAGTAGAATAAATATAGATTTTTACAATAGAAAAACCAGTGAAAGAGCACTAACATCTCATTATAAAGGGGAAAAAAATAAGTGGGCAAAGTAAGTCATAAATGGGGAAACCCACATTGGCCAAGTGCTTGTTAAAGCTACTTCCAAATGATATCATACTTTGTGGGGCTTATATTGAGACGGGGCAATTATTAAGATACATAATAAAGATCCACTAATTACCCGCACAATCCTCAAGCTCTGAAGTTCACCGTAGCACAGGATGAGTAAGTCTTTCAATGACTGCGCTAGACACAGCCTTTTTGAGCCAGTTATTGACTGTAAAATTTAAACCACCTTACCATCCCTGAGCTATAACAAGGCAAGCAGCCACCCAAATATAAAAGAGAAGTGTTTCTGATGTAACTGAAGAGTTTTTGGCTTTAGATATGGAAAGGAGACACGGGGCTGGATCTGGCTGGACTAAGTGACCAACAGTGGTGCTAATTTTCCCAAAAGCTGCAGCCCAGAAGGTCTGGACCAAAGAGCAGGTCCACCATAAATGCCTATAAGTCTCTGTGGCTCCACTGTGTCACCAACAGGGCTGAGTTTTGAATATGAGCCATTTGCACCAGTGTTAGGAACCATCTATGAATAATTTCCACATTGGTTTCTCCAACAGAGGCTAAGAATGAAAGAAAATGGTTTTGTGGGCCAGAGTTTATTCCATATCAGTTTCCTCCTTCCAGGTCTTTTTCACATACCATCTTCTAATTGTGAAAAAGACCTGGAGGGAAGAAACTGATATGGAATAAACTCTGGTCCACAAAACCTTTTTTTCCCCATTCTTGGCCTCTGTTGGAGAAAACAATGTGAAAATTATTCATAGATGGTTCCTAACACTGGTGCAAATGGCTCATATTCAAAATAGGGCTGTGCATGTTTTAGAAACCGGTCCCTTAATACAAGGTGTTGGCAGCACTACTATACACTCAAATACTAACAAGGTTCAGATATATCAAGGAAGAAATGAAATGAAATAGCAGCTGAATGCTTAACCGGTAATATTTGGCATCTACTAATCATGGAGAGTTGATGAAGTGAAAGAACACCAGTCTGGTTATAAAAATCTCTCAGGCTAAAGAAACCAGATTCATTAAGGCTTTTACTAAAAGCTACCTTATCCTCTGATTTACATGCCGGGTGATAGGGCAGGGGGAAATATGAGGAGGTTGATGGCAATTTGGTTTTTAAACCACTTAGCCCAGGTTGTTAAAGCACTACTACATGCCACCCCAATCTCTGAGCAGTGAAAGAATTCAGGGATTCCAGGGGCTTACTCAGGTTCAGTTTCCTTGGAATGAGGATCAACGAAGACTGTGGTGCCTTTAGGATATATGGTTTTATTTGCACATATATACAACCTGAGCATAAGATGGAGGGGCTCACAGCATCAACACCCCCAACATATCTTGCTTCTCCATTAGTCATGGCTTTGGATCCAGCACAGAGCAAGCATGCTTCTGTGTCTCCAGCGTCCAGCCTGGACATAGCTGTCAAGCGTCCCTTATTTGAAGGGACAGTCCCTTATTCCAGCGCCATGTCCCGCTGCTGTCCCTTATTGATGGATGTCCCTTAAATGTCCCTTAAATGATGTCCCTTAAATTTCAAATGAAGCAGCTCCTCTCCCTCCCTCCCTGCCGGCCAGGGAGGAGGGAGGCTCCAACTGTGTTGCTTGGCTGTGTTGCTCACCCAATAAGAAGTCTAAGAATGACTGGGGGGTGGAGCTTGCATGCCTTGTGCTGATCAAATCGGCTACGTTCCCTGGGAATCGCCTTTGCTCAGCGCTTCCCAGTGGAGAGGTGACAGTGGTTTTCCTTGAGGCTTTGTTTGGCTGCTGGCTGGGCTTTCTGCCTTTGGCTCAGAGGGGCTCAGAAGTTGAACATACCTGTGCTGAGTGCTTGTATCGGAATCAGATGGATAGGTCATCGATGGCCCACTCACCCTTGCCAGCAAAAAGGTCTGTCTGGAGCGGGGGCACATGGTGGGGGAAAAGGAAAGGAGATCTCGTGGGAGGGGGGGCTTTTGAATTTGTTTTGGAGGCTCCTTCGATTGACTTATGGGGGAAAAGAAAGGAGCTGGTTGACTAAAATGGTGGGTGACTGGCGATCTCGTGGCGAGGGGGGGAGGCTGTGTGTGTGTGGCTAGTTAATGCAAGCTGAGGGGGTTTTTGAATGCTGGACGCCATTTTGTTGCACGTGCTGCTGCAAACTTTGCAGTGCAAAGCCAGGCCGGGGAGCCATCTTAAGTTGAGGCTGCATAGGCCTTGTGGTGCATGTGATTCAGATTCTATTCAGTTGAACCTCTGGTTACGAAGTTGGTTGGACAGTGTTCTTGAAGCTAGCAGCATGAGTTTGACCAGACTGCAGGAGGACAGGAAGACTGGAGTGCCTGGAACAGGTGAGGCTGCAGGTCCCTTATTTTGGCTGCTGATCCCTTATTTTCAAGGCTGCTGGTCCCTTATTTTCAAATCTGTAAGTTGACAGCTATGAGCCTGGATGCTCATGGGCTCCTTCATGCAACCAACCAAGTATGCACACACACACACACACACACACACACACTACTCATCCATGCACCTTGGAGTATGTGGAGGTAACTTCTGAAAGGGGCTTTTGAGAGTTTGCTTCCTTGTTTGTGCTCCTGGCGATGCCTTTTCTCCTTGCCTGAATGATTCATATCTTCAATCTCCCCAGATCACCCTTTGGCCCGGTTCCATGACCTGTTCATCCTGTTATATGGTATGCTAACCTCTCTGAGCCAACCGTTTTAGAGAATGGTGTATAATATTTACACAAAACACAGAGTTACTTCTCAAGAAGAAACACCATTGCACAGGTTACAATATGTTTAAAAGGTGTAGTGGAAAAGAGAATAACCTGGGTCACACCCCCAGCTTTCAGTTTATAATGGTCACTCATTCTTTAACTGGCCCAATGCTTAATCTTATCATTGGTCTTCATGATTAATTGACTTCCCCATCTACAAAAGTTCAGAAGCCACAAATCCTGCTCCTAAAAATCTGCACGAAATTATTTGAATTTCTCTAAGCTTTCCAACACTTAGAACAATATTCCTCTCAAGCCTTTGTACATAAAGGACTTCCTCATGTATTGACACTGGAAAGTGTGTTTAAACCATAAACATCCCTAATCCTTTAAGAAATGGGTGTCAAGTCATTCTCTCGTTCCTTTGATGACGACTTGATGGAAACAAGTCTCTCCCATTCCGTCATGTATTTATTTTAATAGCTTCCAAATGGAATAAAAAACAAGAATCCTCTTGTTTTACGATCAATATCATAGTAACTGAGGATGGATTTCTCACTCACCTCGGGATGGGTGCCAGTTCACAGAAAAACAGTGCCAAGGAATAGGGATATATGCCAACTGTGTCTGAAGATGAAAGAATGAAGTTGTTCTTGTACAGTTAAATGTATCTGTCAAAGTTGGTCCAGGATGGGGACGGAGGGTTTGTAAACACTGGCCAGATGCAGTTTCTCACCTCTGCTGTACTGATTTACACTGAAGTTAGTCACATTAGGGCTGCCCACTTGCTATGGGCAGGGGCGGAGGAAGGGGTGCGGTGAGGCTGGGCCTTCCCGGGTGTCACCACTGGGGGGGGGTTGACAAAATGCCGGGCGGCACCTGCCGTGGGGCCTGCAGCACACCTGAGCCACGTGTTTCTCCTGGGAGTGACGCAGTGGCTTGGGCACCCACAGGCTCCGTGGTGCCCCAAATGGTCCGCCCACCGCCTCCCTCTCAGCTGTAGGGCGGCTGAGTGGGAGGAGGCAGGCAGACTCCTCAGAGGCCCACAGAGCTGTTGATTTAAAGCAGAGCCCAGCGGAAGGATGAGGAATACGTGCTGCATACGCTATATTGCTTTATTTACAGTTCAAAGCTGGTATATTACAGAAAGACATCTTGCCTCTGCCGGAGCAGAAAATGCATCCTCTCTCCTCGACAGCTCGGAGAGAATCACACAGTGAAAAACAGGAAACCAGTGTACGTCACATCCAGTCTCCCTTTCCCGTGAGAAACTCCAACAGTACAGACTGTGGAATGTAAACACCTGTCTCGTGACAAGCAGAGCTGCACAGTGAAGGAAAGCAGAAACCAACATCCTCCCCCTTTCTGTGAACATCACTGGGCAGCGTGTTTGCACAATATCAGTACAAACCCAACTTCTGCACATAGGTACAGTGTTGATCCCTTGATACAATCTTGGACAATACATCAGCAGGAATTTCATTACCTGGCATATGGGACACCGTTACGAGTCCCTTCTGAATACATTCCCTAGCATGCTGCAACTTTAATTGCAAGTGCTTTGTGCTTTGCTTACAACCTTCAGACTTCAGCAAAGCCAAACATGCTTTGTTGTCCTGGTAAACCTGGATTGGACATTTGACAGGAATTTTCATATCTTTGCACAATTGTACTAACCATTCACAATCCTTAAGTGAATAAGACAGTGCATTCAGTTCGGCTTCACAAGTACTTAAGCTAACTGTTGTTTGCTTCTTGCATGACCAATCAAACAGACTCTGATTGTACATATAGCAAACTCCAGACGTACTTTTCCTGTCTGTAGCGTTACTTCCAAAACTTGCATCTGCAAATATCTCAAGACCACCAGACTTCTGATTGTTAAATCTCAGTCTGTAATGCATAGTGCCTTTCAAATACCGCGCTATGCGTTTCAGAGCTTTCAATCCTTGACACTAGGATTGTTGACTTGTCTGCTTAGCAAATTACAGCTAACAGCAATGTCTGGTCTTGAACATCTGGCAATGAAGTTTAGCTTGCCTAGCACACTCCTGTACAGTGTAGTGTCAGAAAATGCTTCTTCAGTGTCATCTACCTGATAACCTGTTGTCATCGGTGTGTCTACAGGGTTAGCATCCATCAGATTTAGTTTGCTTAACACATCAGCAATTTTCCGTGACTGGTGTACTAGAATGTTACCATCTTGATCTCTCTCTATTTCCAGAGATAGGTAGTTGTTTACCTCACCAAGATCTTTCATGTCAAAGTGCTTTTTCAGTTGAGCTAGGGCGCGATTGTACATTGCAACATCTTTCCAAAAGAATAATAAATCATCAACATAAAACAAACAGTACAGTTTCTTTTGCCCCTCCTCTTTGACAAATACACATGGATCAGCTTTCCCTTGCTGAAAACCTAGAGAAAACAATACTTCAGTGAGTTTTGTGTGCCAACACCGTGCACTTTGTTTGAGACCATAAAGGGATTTCTTCAGAGCACAAACAAATCCCTGTTTTACCTGTACGCCATCAGGTGGAAGCATATAAAGTGATTCATCTAGAGATCCGTACAGAAAAGCTGTATTAATATCATGGTGACTAATGTGTAGATTTTCCTCTGCAGCTAGCTTGAGCATAAGCCTAATGCTTTCATATCTCACTGTGGGTGAATAGGTCTCATGATAGTCTTGACCTGGTACCTGTGCAAAACCTCTGGCTACCAATCTGGCTTTGTGTCTGACTATCTTGCCATTTTGATCTGTCTTCGCTTTGAAGACCCATTTGCTTCCAAGCAGTTTCATTCCTGGAACTACTGGAACTAGCTCCCATGTTTTGTTCCTTTCTAAGGAATCAAGCTCAGCCTTCATGGCATTTAACCATGGCTCAGCTTCCTTTGAATCCAAACCCTGGATTTCTTGGAAACTTGAAGGTTCAAATACCTTCTTGGAGCTTTTAACAGCTGTTACTGCTATCTTAGCAAACTCATCAGCAAATCTCTTTGGAGGTTTGCCTTTTGTAGCTCTCTGTGACCTACGAATTAGCCTTAAGTCTTCAACACTCTCCTCTTCCTTCTTAGGAGAAAAACGACCTATTGTGAACAATGGTTCCTCCAATTCTTGATCAGAGCTTTCAGAGGGTCGCATAGAGGCTTTCGCACTCTCGAAATCCTCTGAATCACCCGATTCAGTTTCAGATTCAGACTCAGAACCTTCATCAGTGGGTGTGGGCTGTTGTGGTTGCTTTGACTATCCTCAGTCTCATCACCGTCATCAGGATAACATTGGAAAATTCCCACATTCTCCCCCACTTTGCATTGTACTCAACACTTCTCGTGAGCTTAATTGTCTTAGAGTCAGTCATCATTATTCTGTAAGACCCTTTCTGATAACCTAGAAAGATACCATGCAATCCACGCTTGTCTAACTTGGAGTTTTGTGGTGAGTGAACCCACATGTCAGAACCAAAAATCTTCATGTGTTTGATGTATGGCTTCTTGCCAAACATCTTCTCATAGAGGTACAACCAATCGCTGAAGATAACCTGCGATTGTAACTGTAAACAAAACACGAGAGAGATTCGGCCCAATAACTCTCTGGAAGATTGGCATCATGCAGCAAGGTTTTTAACCCTTGAAGCAATGTCTGATTTGCCCGTTCCGCAAGTCCATTCTGCCATGGCGAGCGAGGACTAGACAAATCGTGTTGAATTCCTTTCTCAGTCAGAAAAGCTTCAAACTGCTGAGAAGTGAATTCCCCCCCCGCTATCACTGAAAAGAGTCTTTATCTTCTTACCATGCACATTTTCCAACCAAGCACAGAATTCCTTGAACCTAGGAAAAGCCTCCGATTTCTGCTTGAGATTGTACACAAAAATATATCTAGAAAATGCATCAATGAGAACCATGAAGTATCTATTTCCACCCAAAGAGGGCGCTAGTGGTCCAACCAAATCAGCATGAACAACCTGGTATGGTTCTGTAGCTTTCCTACTAGACACCTTACCTTTCGCAGCCATTTTCACTTTGTTTGCTGCGCATGCTTTGCACTTCATGTGGTACCTGCAGGGTTTAATAGTCATACCTTCAACCAAGGCAGGCATTTTAGATACTGCCTCAAAATGCAAATGACCAAATTTTCGATGAAAATCGTGAATACATTCTGCATGCAAACTTTTGTTAGAACCTGCAATGCAACAAGTGTCATCCTGCACCACATCATCATAATACAAAACAAACAAATGATCAACATATTCTGCATGCAATACATAATCATTTTTCTTTGTGATGATGCACTTCTTGTTCTTGAAGGAAACGTCAATGTTCCGCTCATTCAGCTGTCCAACGCTGAGCAGATTATGTTTGGCGTCTGGCACGTAAAGCACATTCTGTATCGATAAGTCCAAACTGTGAAGAACAACAGTTCCGTAGCCTTTACTGGGAATAGTGTGGTCATCCGCCTGGTGAATCGCACCTTCCTGCGGTGTAAAAGACACAAACAGTCTCTTATCGTTGCACATGTGGTGGGTGGCCGCTGAATCAACAACGAAGAAAGATCTAGACGTCTTCTGAACCTCTGCAACCTTTGGAGTGAAGCGTGAAACCATAGCCTTGTGCTGCGTTGTCCTAGACACCGGACCTTTGCCTTTGCCTCGGCCTTTTCCGCGCGATGAGCTTTCGCTGCGCTGCTCTGTCTTGGCCCTGGGATGTCTGCATTCCCTCTTCATATGGCCTAGACGTCCACACGAGTAGCATTTCACTGCCTTCAAAGCTTTGGCGCCATCTGGTGGTTCCACTGCACTATGGGATGACGTCTGTGAAGACTCCCCCTTGCCCATGCAGCTAGCACCCCGGCGATCTGCTTCATTTAAAATCACGGCAGTAACAAAGTCCACTGTCAGCTGAGCAGTTGGTTGCACAGCAATCTGGGTTGCAACAGACTCCCAACCTGAACCCAAAGATTGTAGTATCATGAAAGAATACACAGCCTCTGGAAAGTTGAGTCCTCTCTGTTGCAGCTCATGTCTCAGATTTTGCATCTCCATCAGATGTAAACGCACATCTCCACCTTCAGCAAGAGCCATATTATGCAGCTTGTTAAAGTAAAACATAGTGGATCCAGCTTCTGTCCTTAAGTGAGCCTCTCTCAAAGCGTCCCAAATTTCTCTGGCTGAGGTCTTATCACGCAATAGACAGAGCTCTTCTGGGGATACTATCAATGTAAGAGTTCCCCTTGCTTTGGAATCCTTAGCTTCCCATGCATCTGTAACTGGAACTGGGGGGGTTCCTGTAATCACCTCAAACAAACCCTCTTTCCGCAGAATTCCCTCTGCATACAGAACCCAGTCGGCATAATTTTTCTTGTTGAGCTTAGGAATCCCACAAGCATCCTGAAGGGCCATCATGACTCTGGCATTAGCCTTCAGCGTCATATGCTGCTTTAAATCTTGCTGCGTCACTGCTGCAGCTGCTTTATTACAAAAGCGCACTTAAAAGTTACTTCGATTTCCCCAGCATAGTGACTTGTGCCTGGGAGCCTTTTGCCTATTCCCGGCAAAACCGGCTTTAAAAGTTCAAAGTCCAGCCATAAAGCCATTAACTTGAAGCTGGCAGGCTGCCCGGAGCAGTAGCACATACCTCATCAATCACTTCTACGCGCAGAGCAGATTCCGTTCCGATCTGTCCCTCTGCATTCCGATCCTTTGCCGGCACTCCGATTCGACCTCTGGAGCCCATAACCACGTGTTGATTTAAAGCAGAGCCCAGCGGAAGGATGAGGAATACGTGCTGCATACTCTATATTGCTTTATTTACAGTTCAAAGCTGGTATATTACAGAAAGACATCTTGCCTCTGCCGGAGCAGAAAATGCATCCTCTCTCCTCGACAGCTCGGAGAGAATCACACAGTGAAAAACAGGAAACCAGTGTACGTCACATCCAGTCTCCCTTTCCCGTGAGAAACTCCAACAGTACAGACTGTGGAATGTAAACACCTGTCTCGTGACAAGCAGAGCTGCACAGTGAAGGAAAGCAGAAACCAACATCAGCGTCCTGCCCTGGCTCACCCTGCTCCCGCAGGCAGCTGGCCCCACCCCTGGACACAGGGCATGCACACCTCCCCAGGCACCTGAATGACTTGCTCCGCTATGGGTTATGGGGGTGCAGAACAGACTGGCTTAGGGTTTAGAAGAATGGGGGGCTGCTGCTGCTGACCTGCCTCCCTCCTTCTCAGTAGCTATCACCTAAGGCAGCTGCCTCATTGTGCCTAATCTAAGAGATGGCCCCAGAATCAGTCAAACAGGGTGTCCATTGCCAGAAGTGTACAGATGTTAACTAGCTGAAGTAAACTGCTAGTTAATTAGCGGTTGACTGATTAAATTGTGTCTGGTTGAACTTTAGCTCAATTCACACACCGAGTTAAAGTTTAATCATTTGCCATTTGTCAAGGGTGGCTATTAATGCCATATTTTATCAATTTCTTGGCCTGTGAGCTGAGCTCGCCCAAATGCTGAAGCAATTAGCAGAGAGCATATATTAGATTGGATATTTCATGGTACACCTCCACATTTCCATCGTGTCAGCAACCCAAGACTGTGTGAGTTTGTGTGTTTTTCTGGTAGAATCAGCATTGGATCCAAGGAATACGAGGAAACGGTGTGTCTGGCAAAAGGATTTTATGCACATCTCTAACAGGAAGGTGTTACCCTGTCAGCCTCATGGGCAACCCTCCAAGGGCCGCACTATGTAACAGTGGTAAGGGGTTGGATCAGATACCTGAAGGAAGGTTAGCAGCCCGCTCTTCTCAATTAAGCAAGATATTACTGAACATGTAAATATGTGTTTAAAATCCCTATGGACACTTCCTTGGAAAAAGAGCTCTGGGGAGTGAGGTATTCCCAGCAGAGAAGCAGTGTGGGGAGTAGAGCATTTAACACTCACCCCCTCCCCACTTCTGTTGCAGGCTGCAGCTGAGGCATGATCCCTTGTATAAATCCCAGTTAGTTAAGGCCAGCCAGGAAGAGGATTCTAATCTGTGCCTGACCTTCCACGTGCCCTGCCTTTGCAAAACTACTCTTCCTCAGTGTCTCCCAAAGGATGTCCTTCTCAGTCCTGCAAATCCATCAGAGGAATGCAATATATGCTCCAATGGCCCCTGTAAATCACAGCACAGCCAGAACAGGTCTGCAGAAAGAAAGAAAAAAGCGCGCATGGGGGGGGGGTGTTGCCTAATGGAAAGAAACTGCCTGTTGAGGTTTTTCTCAGGAAGTCTGTGTTGACTGCACTAAAGGCACACAGGATTCATTAGCACAAATTTGCATTTTGAAGCTTATTCCTCCTCCTCCTCCCTCCCTCCCCTCCCCCCTCCTCAGAAACCTCTTGCTCTTTTATTACCTAGAGGGCCACTTCAATGCATTTGGCGGCCTTGGGAAAAGTTGGCTCTCCCCATTTCACACACAGGAGGAGATCAGACTGGAATGAGGGGAAGAGCAATAGCTCAGCTGTAAAGCTCTTGTTTTGCATGCGGAAGGTCCCAGGTTCCATCCCTGGTGTCTCCAGGTAGGGCTGGAAAAGATTCCTGCCTGAAACCTTGCAGAGCCACTGCCAGTGCAAGTCAAAAAAACTGAGTTAGATAGACCAATGGATTGACCTGGTATGAGGCAGGTCTCTACGTTTCTATGGTTTAACACTGGTGCTGTCCTCCAATACACCTGAGGAACGCAGGTTAGCTTAAGGGCACAGGACAGGCACAGCCCTGCCCTTCCACGCTGCTCCCATCCCCACCCCAACCGTTGCATATGCCACATGAGATGGCTGTTCCATTCTGCTGAGCCCTGACTTACTCAGCTAAGATGCATTCCCCCATTGACAGCATATGTGTGCTCTCTCTCTCTCTCAGTGCCTCTGTGTCTAATTCCTTAGAGGAAAAAGAAGAGCACATGTTAGCAACCAAATTGGCCATGGTGACAATTAACCCTATTTCCCTTGAATGTTGGAAGATTTGGAACAGACAAAAGGAAGTCCTTCAGCCAGTGTGGTGTAGTGGTTAAGAGCGGTAGTCTCGTAATCTGGGGAACTGGGTTCGCGTCTCCGCTCCTCCACATGCAGCTGCTGGGTGACCTTGGGCCAGTCACACTTCTTTGAAGTCTCTCAGCCCCACTCACCTCACAGAGTGTTTGTTGTGGGGGAGGAAGGGAAAGGAGAATTTTAGCCACTTTGAGACTCCTTAAAGGGAGTGAAAGGCGGGATATCAAATCCAAACTCTTCCTCTTCTTCTTCTTCTTCACACAGCATAGTTAAATTACGGAGCCCACTCCCACAAGAGGCAGTGTTGGCCACCAAACTGGATGCCTTTAAAAGAGGATTGGACAAGTTCATAGAGGTAGAGAAGGCTATCAAGAAGAAGGCTAGCCATGCTGGCTATGCTTTGCCTCCATGGTCGGAGATAGCAATGTTTCTGAATACCAGTTTCTGGAAACCTGTGTTGCTGTGCCGTGGACCTGCTTTGGGGCTTCTGGTTAGCCACCGTGAGAACAGGATGCTGATACAGCAGGCTCTTTTTATGTCCTTATAAAACAGCCAGGCCTTCAACTGCCTTGTATTTATAGCTTCTTTGCAGTGCTGTCTTCAGCCCTTAAGAAAAAAACACAAAAAACCCACCCAGCTTACCAAATCTTGAGAGATAGTTTCTCAGAGCTGGGTGAAGCAGGTGGGGATTAGATCTCATTTTCATGTGGCTTGCTCTGTGATTTGCAAGAACACCTTTAAACTTTTCACGCCTTCCCAGGGTGGTAAATTCCATTCTGCCTGACAGCAGCCGTAATTGGTCTGTACAGTGTAAAATGAACTGCTGCCAAAGTTTCTTAACTCTATTTTCTGGCTATCTCTGTAAAAAAAAAATATATATTTTTTTAAAAAAACTACACATCGCTATTCGTTTTCACAGCCCTTAAGTAAAGAATATACACCTTGCCAGCACAGGCCCCTTGATCCTTGCATTTTCTTTCTCTATCCTCTCTCGTAACATTGGAACTTGTGGACGTCTGAGGAAGCTGAATGTTGGATGATTTATGAGAGATAAAAGAAAGGACTTTTTCACATACTGTAGGGCATGGTTAAAGGAACCTGCTTCCTCAGGAGGCAGTGATAACTATCAACCTACATAGCATTAAAGACGATTAGGCAAATTCACAGAGGAGAGGGCTAGCGATGGCTGCTAGCCATGATGGCTCTGCTCTGCCTCCACTGTCGGATGAAGTAATGCTTCTTCAGGAGGGGAGAGTCCTCTTGTGCTTCAGGTCCTTCTTGTGGGCTTCCCACAGGCATGCGAAAACAGGATGCTGGAGTAGATGGACCACTGGGCTGATGCAGAAGGGCTCATTTTATATGCTTCTTAAATGGTCTGGTGAGTCAAATGGGGAGGGCTGGCAAGCCCAACATAGCCTGCAAGCCAGAAGTTCTCCAGCACTGATCTAGTGCTACCCTGTTTCTCTGATAAAACAACACATCCTCTAGCTGCTGGCCACTGTGACCAGTAGTGGCCAGTGCTTTTGTTCTGGGGGTACGCAGGGGTATGCATACCCCTAAACATTTTATGAATATTGTACTTTTGTCCGTTTACTGTATGTATTTCCCCCAATTTGAACTATAAAATGGTGGTTTTCTTGAGTCAAAATGAGAGCACCCCTAAATAATAATAATAATAATAATAATAATAATAATAATAATAATATTTTTTTAGGAAAAAGCACTGGTAGTGGCAAATGGGACGCAGGTGGTGCTGTGGTTTAAACCACTGTGCCGCTTGGACTTGCCGATCAGAAGGTCGGTGGTTCGAAGCCCTGCAATGGGGTGAGCTCCCATTGTTCGGTCCCTGCTCCTGCCAACCTTGCAGTTTGAAAGCACGCAGTGCAAGTAGATAAATAGGTACCACTCTGGCGGGAAGGTAAACGGCGTTTCCATGTGTTGCTCTGGCTTCGCCACTAGCGGCTTAGTCATGCTGGCCACATGGGACGGAAAAACTGCGGACAAACACCAGCTCCCTCGGCCTGTAAAGCGAGATGAGCGCAGAAACCCCAGAGTCGTTTGCAAATGGACTTAACTGTCAGGGGTCCCTTTACCTTTACTTAGTGTCAAATGCAGAAGTTCAGAGTCCCTTCAAGGTAGTCACGGCCATGCCGCCTCACACCCCTTCTAAGAGAATACACCCTTCTAAGATGATGCAATAATCTTACAATTATACAATAATAATAATTTTGTGTTTCCCTTGAAGTTCCACTGCACATAACAGAACTTACACACTATACTCTTGAAGTTGAAGCACCTGGTGTTTTCAGCGTTCCTTAATGCTTAGCTTTGGAGCACACAGTGTTGTTTTGGTGGCTCTAGGATGCTGGGGACAGAGATTCTGCTGGGACCCTGCTGCAGAAATAGTAATGGATCTTTAACCCCACCTCCCACCACAGTGACCCCAGACCACTGTGACACTGACTGTGGCACTGGGAATGGCAGATACCAGCAGGACATCAAAAAGGGGCTGCAGTAGTGTAGTGATAAATTTTGAAATTAAAGAGATCCTTGTGATTACCCCCAACCTTCCAAGAGCCCCATTCCAAAGGTGAATCCAAAAATGCAGGCAGCTGTGTTGATCCTAGATATTTAACTGTATGTATCAAAATAGCAATGGTAAATAACACAGTGTCTTGTTTATTAGGATCAGAATAGTGAGCTGGCAAAGAGTGGCTGTAATTTGGCTGGGTAGACCTTGACCCCCAACCCTGTGGCCTAACTACAATCCTCTACATAGTTAGTAAGCTGCAGTGAAACTGTGAAATTCAGTATTTCTGGTTTCTGGCTGCAGGGATCCAATTTGTAAAACACAGAGAACTTTAATAAAAGGCATTCATCCCACTGAAATTCAACCTTTAGTGCTTAATTAGAGGTGCATGCATGCTTGTAAGTAATTATTACCATTTAAACTTCTAGCATGAAATAGGAGCCCCGTCAAAGAAAAAAGAAACATTTACCCAGCCTCTGCTTGATTGCACATCTGTCACAAACTCGAAAGCCTTTGTTCACTTGTCAGAACAAGGAGGGTGCATCAATATCAGTTTCCCTGGCATTCCTGCAGGTTGCATCATCACTCCTGTATGGACGGTCCCCTCATGTTCCTGTACCTCAACACTATTGGCTGACCATGAAGGAGGGTAAGGCAGGGTAGTCTGAGGGAACCTTCTCCCCCTTTGAGGCCACCCATATTTTAACTGGAGATACCAGGGATCAAGCCTTTGACCTTCTGCAAACATCACATGTGCTCTGCCTCTGATCTATATACTCTGCCCACAAGGGGAACATTCTGTGCCGTCACATAGAATGATAGCAAATAGCTGAGAGGCCAAAGTTGAACGCAAGAATGCTGACATACTGTATAGCCCACACAATATGAGAGGGAGTGAAAAATCAGTGTTACCAGTAGACAACCTCGCACGATCTTCTTCATGAATCTGTCCAGTCCTTTTTATAAAGCCATCTAAGCTAGTGGCCATTGCTGCCTCCTGTGGGAGCAAGTTCCATAACTGAACTATGCACTGTCTGAAAAAAGTACTTCTTTTCTCTCTTTTGAATCTTCCAACATTCAGCTTCATCGGAGAGGGAGTAAAACTTTTCTCTACCTGCTTTCTCCAGGTCATGTATAATAATCTTATAAATGTCAGTCATGTCGCTTGTTACTCACCTTGTCTCTAAACCAAAAAGTCCTAAACGCTGCAAGCTTTCTTCACAGAGGTGTTGCTCCATCCCACTGATCATTTTGGTCACCCTTTCTGGTTAGTAAAAGAACCACAGAAAACACACAGTCCCAGCTATGACAAAGAGTGAGCAAAAGTCAAAGAGCCAAGAACCCAGGAAGATTTGACAGCTGTGCCAAGACCAAAGGTGAGGAACAATCCCACATAGAAGATTTTACCAGTTATTTCTCCCTAATCCCATTCTGAAGCAGATCTCATTCTTTCCTTCCTTCCCTCCCCCTCTCCCCCCCCCCCCCCCCGCTTTGTTTCGCTGTCTTGCAGAATAATCACTGGGAAGTTGTCCCAGATGATTCTCAGAAACTGAGTCCCTGGGACTAGGCCTGGAAACACCTTCCTTGGCTGAGGATAAGCCTCGGGCAACAACCAGCGTTCTCCAAACAAAAAAGAACACCTTCATCTTTTTAAATAATGCAACAGCAGGACAGCATGTACTTTGTTACACACTTTCCCAGGTCACATGTTATGGCAGACTCCATGGATGAAATAAGATTTATGGGGGGGAAACAAGACATTTTCTATCCCTAATTACTAGGCGTTAAATTCTGTGATCCTTCCTTCACTGCCCCCTGGAAAAAAGAAAAGAAAAGTGGGGATGGGGGGAAAAACTTCTGGGGAGCCAGCATAGTGCTAAGTTAAAGAACAATCATGGACTTTACAGGTTGTGCTGCAGGAATCTCAAATTCTTACCACTCAGATTGATGGCTCCTGGTTGAAGCTGTTGTGGGAACAAAGCAACAAAAACCTTGCATGTA